AACTTGAGGCAGGAACAGGAGAGGTGAAAAAGGAAAGAGAGCCAGTTGCCAGCAGGCTGGGAATGGGTGTGGATGGAGGAACCCTGGACAGGATGATGGGAGAGGCTGAGAGTGCCTAAAGAGGAGGCGGATTAAGAAGAAGAAGGGAGATTCCCCCCGGACCTTCTTATTGGGGAAAAGCCAAGGTGAGAGAGTAGAGGAGGAGGTTGAGAGAAGAGAAAGAAAGAGTAGAGAGAGAAAGGAGAGAGAGGCTACAATGGAGAATAAGAGAGATGAGGAAGAAGTACTACAGGAAGGACCCTGGGAGGATCAAGACACCCCCCCCCAGAGGCGAGCCCTGTGGAATGGCGATCGGGATGACGAGACCGTGCCCTTGCTGGAAGATTCGATGGGGCAGACAGTGAGAGACTGGATCCCTGCTGATTTACCGGGACAATGGAACAATAGTTATGGCAACCCGTTCCTGTTAGAAGATTGGAGACGTCTTCCGGACCCGTTGGCGGAAGGAGAAGAGACTCATAATCATGTCACAGACACTTGTTCATTGTTAAATGCACCAATAAATCTTTCGCCTGTTTTGAAGCAACAAAACTCTACTGATTTCTTTGGACCGAAAGAGGAGCCTAAAGTCAAACCCTCACATATTGGCGCCCAGCGCAGGGGGCCTTTGACATTGGGAGGCCCTACAGAAGACTAGCTCTGCAAAGTAACAGAAGGACAAGAAATTCTGATAAAACAAGTAGAAGATCAACAGCAATTACTGATTAACCAATTAACACAAACATGCCTGGCTACACCGTTACTGTCAGGGACGACGCAACAGAAAATGCTGATAGTAAGGCAACCGCCCATAAAAATACAAAAGATGGGACCACACGATGACCCGGCGCGTTCCTCAACACGTTTGAAAGATTAGCAGCAACAGCACAATGGCCAAAAGAGCACTGGGCATTGATCCTCACACCATATTTGACGGGACTACACAAGAAATAATGGACACACTAAACCCAACAGAAAGTCAAAACAGCGATTTTAAACACATTGAACTTGAATGAAGAAGCATACCGGAGGTGGTTTAGGGATCTACGACAATGACCAGGTATCCATCCCAGAACCCTAGCACAGAAAATGAGGGTCAATGCCACGAGGTGGGTGCAATCCAAAGGAAAGATAGCTGATCAAGTATTAGAGATTGTGATTATGGAACAACTTATATCTATGTTAGGAGCAGGTCCCAGAAACTGGGTGATGAAAAACATTATGTTAGGATCAGGTCCCAGAAACTGGGTGATGAAAAACCCACCAACCTAGAAGTTGCTATAACCCTGTTGGAAGACTATTTAGGAGAGGAAGAACCGTGGTTTAACAGAGGAATGACACTATGGGAACGCCTCTCCCCAAGGTTGCTAAGCTGTTATCTGTTGTAGTGAAGAGCACATTCTGCTAGTGGATGCAGCTGCTTCTGACGAGGGTGGTGGTGGCTGCCCATTCTTCCTCTTTCCCATAGAGTCATGGAGCATAACTTCAAAGCCTTTCTTCAGCCAATCCTAATTGGCATTATGTAACCAGTGCCCTATCTGTATACCATCAACAATCTGTAAGCTTGTTAAGGTTAATAAAAAGGATCCCTCCTTGGGGCATCGCCCAGGACAGGCAGGAAGACTCTGCTGGCGGACATTTCTGTGTGTTGATGCTCTTCATTAACTTCTCTCTCTAAAGTTGATTGCTTTCTTAATTATTTGTGATCACCCACTTTCTTCTTCCATGATCACTACATGACGCAGTTAGAAAAACCCAAAGGCAAAGACAAGATGGCCAACACAGCAGGGAGCAAGAATGAGAGAGGACCGAACCCCCAAGGGTACTGGAAAACCTGACTGGACCAGATAGAATTCATCAACCTGACAGGGAGCAGGATCCCGAGACCCACAATCACGGAGGAACCAAGTCAGGTACAACAACCCGCCACCTGGGCTACACTGAAAGAACATATGGTCTCATGTTATGGTTGCGGGCAGTTTGGGCACATTAAGAAATACTGTCCAACGGAAGAATGTGTGTAGGCAAACATATATGCCCTCACGGCTAAGGTTGGTACAGACGATCATCCGGGCCGGATAGTAAAAGCAAACGTGGAGTATGGAAAGGGGCGCTCATTGATACCGGGTGTAGCAAGACCTTTATAAGAGACCTGCAGGGGGAGAATCTAACTGAACATATGTTTATCAAATGTGTCCATGGGGATGTCAAACCTTATGGAGTGATAGTAGGCCAAATTGAGATAGGTGACCAGATGAGAGAGATGGAAGTCAGGGTGATACCCAGGTTGGGGAGATAAATGCTATTAAGAAGAGACTGGCCAGGAGTAGAAGAACTAACCCAAACAATAGTTGAGGAGTACAATGGGGAAGCGGAAAATTGTATGTTAGAAGAAGAAATGTCCAGGGATAAACTGAGAAACTGGCAGCAAGATGATATCAGACTGAAAATGATCCAGCTAAAGGCGGTTCCGGAGGGAACAGAAATGTTAACCACGTCCAGGGATCAACTGAGAAACTAGCAGCAAGATGATATGAGACTGGAAAAGATCCAGCTAAAGGCGGTTCCGGAGGGAACTACACAAGAGGGAGAAGTAAAAATTGAAATGAGGGATGGAGTGCTGTACTGTGTAAGCAAAACAGACCTTGGGGAAGAAACCCAGCTAGTAATACCTGAGAGACTTAAAGGACTGATGTTAGACTGGCCCATTATGTGCCACTAGCAGGACACTTGGCAGTATAAAAAACATTGGTGAGAGTGCGGCAGAGGTTCTTTTGGCCACTCATGGCCAAGGAAATACAGTAGAGGACTATTGCCAGTCTTGTCCTGAGTGCCAAATCACGCAACCGAAGCCTCAACCTGGGGGGGGGGAGTTAATACCGATGGGTGTGGATGGAGGACCTCTGGCCAGGATGCTGGGAGAGGCTGACAGTGCCTAAAGAGGAGGCGGATTACTGAAGAAGGTAGATTCGCCCCAAACCCTCTTATTGGGGAGAAGCCGAGGCAAGAGAGTGGAGGAGGAGGAGGTTGAGAGGAGAGAGAGAAAGGAGAGAGAGAGGAGAATAAGTGAGATGAGAAAGAAGAACTACAGTGAGGTCTGGGAGGATGGAGACCTCAAGAGACAAACCCTGTGGAACGGCAATCGGGATGACAAGATCGTGCCCTTGCTGGAAGGTTCGACAGGGCAGACCGCGAGAGACTGGGTCCCTGCTGATTTACCGGGACCATGGAACAATAGTTATGGCAACCCATTCCTGTTTGAAGATTGGAGACCCCTTCCGGATCCCTTGGCAGAAGGGCTTGTTTATTGTTAAATGCACCAATAAATCTTTCACCTGTTTTGATGCAACAAAAATCTACTGATTTCTTTGGACCACAAGAGGAGCCTAAAGTCGAACCCTCACACTAAGCCAATTAAAACAAACATGTATCGTGGGTACATTTGAAAACAAAATATCTGAAAGAAAAAGTCTCACTTTTAATTGGCTGGACTCTGGCCGAACACCTTCAGTGTGCAAGGAAACAACAAACAGCTCTTCCAGCATGGAAGCCCAGTGTTGTATTTTAGTGTCTGTACTAAAAACCAATTAACTGGTTTTATTTTATTTTATGCCGAACAAATTAATCAGGGACCATTTTTTCCCCAGCAACCGTAAAGTCTGTGATCAAATAGCTAGGCAAAGTTTCAGCATCCCTAAATACCTGCTGCCCTGAATCCTGCAGGAGCCAAATTTACACACCTACAACAGATTCACTCCCTGAAACACGTAAAACGATCTGGAGTCAGGCTCTTACTTAATCGAGGCATCCAATGCGAATATTAACATGGCACATCTCCCACGTCAGCTTTTATTTAAAATGAAAGGGGGAGGGGGGAGCTCGATCGTATTATTTCCTCGATTTTTAGGGACAGAGTCTGACTCATCTCCCTGTGTGTGTGTGTGTGTGCGGGTGTGCTGCGCTGCATCCATCTTACTTTAAGTGTCTCTTCGCTTTTGCCTTCGAATAAGCAGCACCCGCAGACGCCATGAGGAAACAGCATGGGCGGACGGGCTTAGGGAGTGGCCAAGATGCAAATCTCTCGCTTTCCAATTTCCCACCGACTCCAGGCAGGGATGGCAGCGTGTCCTCGAGTGTCAGATCCACGCGTATGGAAACTTAAAACTTGCCAAACCCGAACGCTCTCTCGGAGCTGCAGGCAGGCACGCGTGCACTATATTTAACATCTCAATCTCCCCTCCCCTCCCCCCCAGTGCGTGTGCGTTTTAAGTGTTGCAACGTAAGGCGTTTGCCTGGGTTCGATTTCCATCTGAACACCCCGTTAACGCCTCGCACCTTCAAAGCAGACACCCAGCAGCCGAGATAATTTTAAACAGTTATGCATATATATATTTTTGAACAGTTATGCATATATATAGTTAATATATATATGAAAACCCCAATAATCGGCAAGCGCTCTGCTCTTTTCCCGCTGAGATATGTCGCAGCAGGAGGGAGGAGGCAGGGAGGGCCTCGCCTACTCAGTCCATACCGAAAGTGAGTGAACTGCAAACTTACAAAAAAAAAGTTGTGCCTGCAGCTTCATGCAAGAATGGAAGTAGTGAAACGTTTGCCTACCTGGTGCAGGACGGGAACAAGTGCATGCAAGATCCAAGAAAAGTGTAAAGTCTACCCCCCCTTTTTTTTTTTACACCAAGGGGGCAACTTCGAATTTAATTTATCACAGTCCTGCTATTTACTCGCGTCCTACTTTGCATGCAAGAATCACTCATCCTGTAAACAAAGATCGCTCCGCCAGGAAACATACGCACCCCGCCTCATCCTTTCTGTAACCCCCCCCCCTCTGTGCACTGCACCCTACTCTCAGAGACTGGACGGAGGAGGTGGGGGAGACGCAGGCGAAGAGGCGGGCAATCCAATCCTAAACCACGCCAGGAAAGGCTGGAGGTGGCTGGACTTACCTTGCGCAGGAAATCCCATGCATGCCTCCGACAAGGGGGCTCCACACCCCCAACCCCCCGGTGCAAAACCTCCGGGTCAGGAAAACGCTGTCAAATTGTTTTTTCGTGCAGATTGGGGGTTGGGGGGAGAGAAAAGCAGAAGCAAAAAGGGGAGGAGGCTGGAAGAGAAAAATCGGATCCCTCCGCCGCCGAAATGGGTCTGGTCCTGAATTTGCAAACCAGGAAGTAAGGTGTCAGCAGCAGCAGTAGTTACACCAGCAGGAGAAGCAACCAGAGAGCCTCTGTCACTGGGGGTCTCCTGGATTCCTTTAGATCGACTGGGAGATCCCTGAAGATAACCTAGGGGGAACGTGGATCGCCCCGTTTGTGTTCTTATTTTTTTTTCCCCTTATCCCCCAAAGCTGCAGATTTGCTACACGTCACGGAACACACACACACACCACCGGCAAATACCTCTCCGATCTGCTGGCAACTGCTTTGGAGGCGGCCAAGGAGCGACTGCATTCGCTTCGGGGCAAGGCGAACCCTGGGCTGGCCGCGCTTCTGAACTGGGCATGCGGGGCGAGCAGCGCGTGCCTGGGTGGCCTTTCCTACCTGGGCGCCTCGTCCCTCGGGTTTAACGAAGTGGGACGGGGGGGGGGCAAGGTCGGTGACATTTCTGCAAAGGAGTGTGGATAAGGCGCGGAGGGGGGGGTCTGCTGCCGTGCCCTTAAACTATCCCGCAGGAAGACCCCACACGCAGCCCGATCCTGTGCATGTATTACACGGGGGAGGGGGGAAGCCTGCCCGCTTTCGCCCTCCCGAAACCTTGCATTCTTGAAGACGGAGAGGAAGGAGTCTCCAGGCAGCCATCCTGCACACCTTTATTTGAGAGTCAATCCGGAGCCAGGCTTGACTTCCAGATAAACGTGCAGGAGAAGATCGGGGGTATATAGGAGGGCCTCCCCTGGGTAAAGAGTTCAGGGCTTGGCCCTTTGACTTGCCTCCCTCGCAGGGAGAGAGACGGGCGAGCCATAAAAAGGGCGCCGCTTCGTAGGAGGAGGGTGTGGGCTAATCATGGCACACCGCACGTCTTTCTACCACGCCATGACTGCAAAAAAACGTGGGGAGGGGGCGGCGGCGGCGGCGGCGGGGGAACTCCTCCCGGGGAGCGCCCCCAGCTGGCTTTTGATTGGCCCCGGGGCTCCGACGGGAGCGCGCGCGCTGT